AGAACCGAAGCATTTCGGTCGGTACCATAAAAGAACCGAAGTTCGGTACCCATCCCTAGTCCCTGATGTTTTTCCTGGAGAGAAGTGGCTTCTTTGCTGCCCTCCTTGAGACCAGGCCTTGCTCCAAGAGTCTCCACCTCACAGTGCGTGCAGATGCACTCACACCTGCCTGCTGCCATTCCTGAGCAAGCTCTGCACCGCTGGTAGCCCGATCCTGCTGCTGAAACACTTTTAAGAGACGGTCCTGGTGCTTGCTGGTCTTTCTTGGGCGCCCTTTTTGGCAACAATGGAACCTCTCTGCTTGAAGTTCTTGATGATTCCATAGATTGCTGACTGAGGTGCAATCTTTCTAGCTGCCATTCTCTTTCCTGTTAGGCCATTTTTGCGTAGTGCAATGATCACTGCACATGTTTCTTTAGAGATGACCATGGTTCACAGAAGAGAAACAATGATGCCAAGCAGCAGCCTCTTTTTAAAGTGTCCAGTGGCGTCATTCTTACTTAATCATGACAGATTGATCTCCATCCCTGTCCTCATCACCACCCACACCTGTGTTAATGGAGCAATCACTGAAACAATGTTAGCTGCTCCTTTAAGGCAGGCCTGCAGTGACGTTGAAATGTGTTTTGGGGGATAAAGTTCATTTTCTAGACAAATATTAACTTTGCAATTAATTGCTGTTACGCTGATCACTCTTTAGAACATTCTGGAGTATATGCAAATTGTTGTTATAAAACTGAAGCAGTAGACTTTGTAAATACTAACATTTGAATCATTCTCAGAACTTTTGGCCATGACTGTACAGAGTTTTTTTTGTCAGCCATGTAGATTTAGTCTTAGTCTTCAGGGTGAAAACTATTATTACTCTTAGTCGCATGTTAGTCCGTTGCAAGAAAAAGTGAACCTTTACAATTTCGAATAACAACCAGATTCTTTCCCAGACTGACAGCTCTAGCCTAGATGCTACAATAGCTGGTTATGGAATGCTGCACTGCAGGTTCATCATTGCTGTTTGGCTGAAAACTTAAATTTATAGAATTCAAATA